TTTTTTTAGAGGGAAGTAGCAAAAGAATTGGAAGCACTTGTGACCTAATTTGCTGTGTTACATTGGCTCATGTGGATGGGAAAGGATGCAGGGATAGACAGAAAAAAAGAAGTCTCTGCCAGAAGGGAAGGAAAATAAAGTCCTTGAAATGCCTGCAGTTTTAACTGTGAAGTTAAAAAAAAAATTTCATAATTTTGTTAATCATCTTTCTGGGTATCATTAAGAAGCCCTTGACTCCTGCCAGAACTGAAGGATACAATCATCAGCAGTCCACGGTCTGGCCTGAGTTTCATATAATTTTTATTTTATATGTCTAAGATAGGTCATGAATACAGTGAAATGACAAACCAAGCATGAGTCAAGCCTAAAGAGGCTTTTCTACCAACAGAATTAAAAAGTTGGCAGGATATATTCTTTTTCCAGGAAAAATATCCATTGCACCATACACTTGTACTTTTGCTCGTTTTTTTTCTCCCTGTGCAAAAAACAGGCTCCCAGCCTCAGCTACATTTGCACAGTGTGTGCTGTAAGGAGGTATACTACTTGACAAGCCAACAGAGAAGATCTATGCAGCTTTCTCTTCCAGAGTCAGTGGCAAAACCAACCTTTAAAAATCTATTACAATGTCCAGCTACTCAATACACAGTATTGAACTGGGCTGCAAAGAATCTGAAGTTCACAAACGACCAGAGCTTAGTATTGACCCTGAAGTTGTCAGCCATAGGCCTTGGCTCAGTGTTCAGTTTTCAATCTCTTTCTTAATCTTTTCCACATCTGGAAGAAAAAAAAAGAAGGACTATTTGCAACTTCAAGGCATTTTTAAGAGAAGTAGCTCAAAATCCCATGCCACGATGACCAGCCGTGGTGGAGACTGGTAAGCAACGTGCAGTGGGAGGCTCCCATTTACTCCGAGCCTGCAGAAATAGAGACGCAATCTGATGCGGTCCGTGCCCATCATTCCCATCCCTGATGGGTGAACAGGGACACCACTGATTAACTAATACCCTCTGACCGAGAAGGTCTGTTTGCTTCTCCTCGTCTGTTCACCTGCTATGCTGAAAACCAAAGAGCTTGGGTGCTTCTTGTGTAGCCCACTGCATGGTGACCGGTTGATGTTACCATGTGTTTCTGTGTAGGTGGTTACTTTTTATTGCTGCTTGCAAAACTTATGGTTGTCTTCTGTTTCTCTGCACTCGTCTAAGTTTGCTGTTCTTAAGCCAAGGTATTTAAGTTATCCGATTCCTTCGGTGTCTAAATTCAAACACAAAATCATCAGCCCCGTTAGAGATGACCATGTAATTGTGGCTGGGAGCATGGTCTTCCCATGAGCTTCCCTTTGGGCTGTTATCCTTTTCATTTGCATTTTCATTTTTTTCAACCGTACAAAGTAAAGGACAGAACTAACCACAATCAAGCATAACCTGGTTTTAGATTAATCCATCCAAGATTTGTGGCATTGGGAAATGAATGCCCTGCCAATATTTCTTCTCTTTTATTTACTGTTCCATAACAACTAATTGAAAAGTCAATTAGTGAGCAATCAACAGGATTGTTTTGATAAATGATGTATAACAGAAAGGTTTTTAAACACCTTATCTGAAAGACCAGGATAAAAGCATCCTGGATGGAACAATTTCAAAGAAATTCTCCATCAATTTATAGTTTCTGAGAGGTTATCTTGGCTGCCATTTTAGGTCACCCTGTTCAAGAGGAAAAAGATTTATGACCACAAAAAAGGGAGATGGTGAAATAGAAGTATATACATAACTGGGGCACAGAGTTGTTCAGAGGGAGAAACATATTTCATTTTTAATATCAGCTGTGTTTTCATCAGTATCATATGAGTTTAGCAGCTTGCATTTTCTCAATTTATTTCAGAGGCTGGACAGACTCTCTGTATCTACGTTTACGCAGGAGAAATCGCTGTAATCACAGAGACTTACAGAACATTTCCCAAAATGGTATGTTAAGTTTTTTCAGTTTTTTTTTTAAACTTTACTAGTCTGATACTTGATGCTGCATTAATGAACATTGTTCAGAAACAAAGAGGAAACCCCTTTCTAATTGCATGGTTTCTTATGTAAAAATAGAGAACAGCACTTACTTAACTCAGCGTCTTTTCTTCTGGCTCTGAGTAGGGAGGTGTGTGCCTTGATCGCTTTTATCCACACATTAAGAATTTCCACTGGGCTAAAAAGCAGTGTACCCCACTGTAACTCTATGGGGATTTTTTGGCCATGGCCAAAAGAGGGGATTTAGAGGGATGTTGCTAGCAGTAATGGAGCTAAAAGGTCTGCCCTCCATCTCCTCTGGAGGCTGTGGCAGGGTCCCCTGCTCTGCACTCCCAAGGGTGATGCTAGGAGGGCCCTGCACTGCACAGGGGGCTCACAGGGCTGCCACACCGGCTGGCAAACAGGGCATAAAACAGGTGCCACTCTCATAGCAAGGGTGTCCGTGATGTCCTGCGACATCCTTTGGAGCTGGAGACCAGCAAACAGAAGTTCTCTTGCAAAACTGGGGAGGTCAATGGTGGAGGCATCTTAATGTGTTCTTAGAACAGGTTTTAAAGGAGTAATCAAGGACATACAGGTAAACCAAAATTGGGACAAAACTTAAAATTGTTAATTAATTAGTTAATTTGATGAGGCTGGCTGAACGTCTTCTTTCTATGAAATATCCTGAGTTGCCAAGGGTATATGCAGCAGATCTAATCTACTTAGAAGTAAGAAAAGTGTCTTGCATGGTACCTCACAGGAAATGTTTGTGTACAGTGAAGAAGAGGAAGATTAATACAACAAATGAGAGGTGGGTAGAGAACCAGCAAAGGAGGGAAGAGCAGTGGTTTTGAGAGAGGAGCCATGTCTCTCATGCATTTCTCCTGAGGTTAACACTGCTTAACATTTAGAGTGGTGACCTTAGAGTAGAGGAAGGCACATGTTTGACGACATCTGCGAATGGTGCAAAACTGCAAAGTATTAACCACCCTGAAGTGGGCCACATCCTTACACAGGAATAATTTAGATAAGCTTGGGAACAGCAGTGACAGTAATTGCAGCAAATACAATTGTACAGGACGTGCATGTCAGAGCTAATGATGAGACTCTTGTCTGTAAACTAGTGGCTCGTCGGCCAGAGGTGGTGGAGGGAGAGAGGCATTGGGGTGCAAAGGGGAATTTCAAGAAACAGCCAGGAGTGCAGGATAGAGCTGGAAGGAGACTAAGGAGGTTGCAAGAAGCATCATGCACATCATTTTCTCTAGAGACAGGGAGGCAGTCCTTCCTCATGTAAGCCACTGATAAGACCTCAGAATTTGGTCCCCTTTGCATAGGGAGGACTGGCTGTGGTGGGAATAGATACAAAGAATGGCTTTGGGGAAGGTTAGGGGAATGGGACTTCTGAAGGCATGTTAAGAAACTTTGGCAATTGAGCAAAGCAAAAATTGAGAGAGATGACAATTTTGAATCCTTTTGAGGCGTAAATACCACAGAGTTGGAAGAATGGTTTAAACTGAAGGATAGTTCTGGTACAAGAACATGGGTTTTCATTAATCTTATCTCTGTTTGGAAGGGAAATTTTAAAAAAGGGTACTATCAAGGAGTGAAAGCCTAGAATAGCCCTCCAAACAGAGGAGTGGGGGCAAAAAAGAAACCCCAAGTCATTTCAGGACAGAGTTTGATTAAATTTATCAAAGGGGTTGTATGAAGGGATGACAGTAATCTCTCTTAGAAATTAAGGTTCATAATGTTAGCTTTTGTGTATTGGATTTTGTGTGATGTCCCCAACAGCAGGTTTGAAAGACACTTGATTATTCTGTGATTAGCACATTGTGTTTCTGTTGTATTTAATTAATTGTAATGCTTCAGAAAACTGGCTGCAGAAGCTTGGGAAAATGTATTCTCCTTGGGTAGATAATTTGGCTTTATGGGATGCTTTTCCTCTGTTACAGATGAGTTATGTCAGCCACAAGTGAGGAGCACTGCTGCCCCTAGTGCTACTTAGAAACTTGTTAAATGCTTGGGATTTCGTGCCTGATTTAGGATCAGAAAGGGTCTGCCCCAGCCCTCCAGCTCCGACAGCCATAGAGCTTACCAGGCAGAAGAGGTTGCTGGGACAGATAGTGTGATGTAAAGATCAATTCCAGGCTCAGGTGGGCATTTTTGCCTAAAAATTTACCTTCTGGTGCCAGTACTTATGCCACTGGCAATGCCTCTCATACGCTTTCCTGCTACCTGTGGCACACATGGTGTTTCTAAGGCTTTGGGTCTTCTGCACAAGTGTTTTACAATGTGTTTGGTGTCATGGGTCAGGCCATTCTGACTTTCTCATCTGGACATCACAGGACACTAGAGTTGGTAGCTCCCATTATCACGGTCCTGCAGATGTGCTTTCTGGTGAGAGAATGAAAAAAAGGCCAAACTAGATGGTATCAATGGCTCTTCTCATTTATATCCAGTTCATCTCTGTACCTGACACCCAATTACGTTGTTCTGCTCTCTTTACATTAATGGGGGTTGTACTTTCTGCTCTTCCTTTTTCCCAATTCCCTCACAGATTTTTTTTTTTAAAAAAAATCTCTCACTGTCTGCATCGTTCCTTTTTTCCTTTTTCTCTCCATGTATCTCCTTTACTCTTACACTACAGACACCCGCAGGATATAAAAGGAGGTGAGCCTGTGTCAGGGCAAAAGACTGAAGAAAATTGAGAAGGGAATTTAAAAAGGGGGAAAATTACAAGTGATGGAAAAATCTCAGGATATCTTCCCTTGGTATCTTCTCTTAATCATTGCACTGACACCGCATTGTAAAGGTTCACTTCTATTGCCTCATTTGACATAATAGTTTCCCTGAATGGGAGGATTTAAATGGCCACTCTCTGTGTCAGCAAAGCAAAAACCTGGCCCACCAACCTGACCTAGCCCCACCTGGGACAACTTAACCTTCCTCTGAAAATGATGTTTACAGCCACAGATATATGCAATGAGAGGAAGAGATGCTAGAGAGGCGGGTCTGACGAGGGAGGCATGCGGCCAAGAGCCAGAGCTCAGGGATGACAACACTTTTCTCCAGCTCCCTGCAGAAGCACCAGCACTGTCAGAGCTCAGCATGGAGGGACTTTCCCCCATTGTCCTTCTCGGGACATGCATCTTCTTCATCTTGAAGGAAGGCTTCCCCGGCCTCCATGCTAGCAGGATTTCTGCCTTCCCATTCTTAAAAAATCCCATTATCCCCTGGAGATGGTGGACCCTTCCTTCTTCTGTGGCTGGTTGGGGAGTACAGTGCTCAGCCCGAGCCAAGGAGGGTACCCCTCAGCTCTCCAGTTATGTTACCCATGACCCATGAATATATTGACATCAGAATTGCTGATGTTCATTTCAGGTGACCAACTCTGCTCACCGGGCACCCCACAAGAGGCTTGAGATATAGGTTAATAATAATTTGTAACAGATCTATTCTCTGTCATCATTACTGCTTTCAGCTTGTAGTTGCACAACAAGCAGCTCACAGTCCTGAACAACATTTTCCATGGAAGTGGCTTGCTGAACAGTTTTCTACAGATATTCTTTTATTGGTTCATTGTTTTCAGTATGGTTTTGGTGCCTTGCCTTCCAGCAGCTTCACACAGGTTGTAGGCCATGTGCTATTTCTGGTTTTTAACTGGGTGAGTGGGATCCTCTGGTGTGAGGGCTGGGCATGAATGCTCAGGTGTACAGTTAGAAAGTTGTTCTAAGTTCTTCTCCAGCACATGTTGAAGATCCCTTGTTTAGACAGAAGCATCCTGTTGCTAAAATATTCAAAAAATCATTAGATAACCACAGGGAAAATGAATATCCTCAGAATTTCTAAATAATTACAGAACAATCTTGCAATTGTCATCCATGTTTTGCCTGAGACATTTGGATAATGTATGCTATTTCAAAACATGGGTATTGTATATTCCTGTGCCATTTGTAGTTTGATCTGTCTCTTTGGGATTCTTGCCTTTGACCAGAAAAATTGGCCTTGTTAACCCATGCTGTGGCTCACTGAGCCATCATGCACCAGATACCTATATCTCACATTGGCTTCAAAGCCAGTTAAGAAATATTTAGTTATTTAGTTATTTATTTTATTTGTCTTTCTTGGAAATTCTAGTCCACCTGGAGTTCATCTGGGGAAAACCAGAGACTTTTTTCTTTGCATTGTTACATTTCCAATTGCTTTTACAGCATAAGGGAGCAAAAGATTAGAAGTCAATAAGCCATTTTTGTCCACACAGCACTTTTGGTGCTATTTGGACCTAGGCTCTTTCAATGCATGTTAGTGCTGCTTCTTGTCAGCCACACAAGGTCTAAGAGCAAGAAAATCAAGAAGTGCAGCTCAAGTATTCCACGGTTTATGAAATTTGGGGTTGCTCACAAGCAGAAGCAAACCCAATCCTGACTCCTCACCCAAAACTAAAAAAACCCAACGGTCTGAAAATATTTGGAAAGCAACAGAGAGAAGGGCAGGTGAGATGCCAGGACATTCAGCAGTGTAAGGGTAACTTTTCTGCTTCATCTCTTTTTCTCTCTTGAATGTTTTCATCACAGATTGCATTCTGTATCACACAAACTTCCTCAAAGACTCAATTTACCCATGAAAACAGTCCTCTCAAAAACCCCTTCATTTTCTTGATGTTTTTACTTGATTTGTAAGTGTGCTGATGCTTTCCACAGAGCTGCTTATAACTACCTACGCTTGTGGAGGTAATACATACCCAAGAACACCTTCTTACTCTGTTGTAAATAAGTTTTTAATTTCTAGAGATCCAAAGAGTTTATTTGTGCTGGAACTGCAGCCCCAGTCCAGGGAGCTACGCAGCAGAATGGCTTAACAGAGGGGTGTTGAACTCTAGCTGAAAGAAGGGCTATTAAACAGAAAAAAAAGAAAAAATCAACTGACGGTAGTTATGTTCCAAGCCATATTTTCTAAGGATTTTGTGGGGTTCTTAATCTGCTGAAAAGAGCTTCTTGACATAAGGGCTGGATTTTGAATGGACCAGCAACCCTCAGGAGAGAAGTAGCAGACAGATATATTCATTTTTAGCTTGGAAGGACTGGATTATTTAAAACATAAAAGATTCCTTGATATATGCGGTTGTCATCACTGTGAGTGATAATAACAAAGGCACCACTATTAAAATGCAAAGTGTATTATTGCTACCTTAGGGGTTTATCTCTTAGATCTTTCCCCTATACCAATCCAGCAGGGATTTAATGATGTTCTGTCCACAAGTTTCCCCCCAAGAGCTGCGGGGAGGACAGGATTTTCTCCTCAAAGCAAGCTTCAGAGGCACAATGCAGAAAAGAGGAGAAGAGAGAGACCAGGGAAGAGCTGAGTGAAGAATAGAGGGAGCGTAATACAAGAGGGGAAGGAGCGAGAAAAGAGGAGAGAGTGAAAATACTGCAAAATAAAAGGAAGTACAACCTGTAGGGCCTGATTCTCTGAAGTTTATGTTTCTGTACGTTGCTCTGAGGTGAGCTTCTTGCAATCACAGTCCCAGTCTAATCTTGAACAAAGCATAAAGACTTTTTTGGCTCCTCGTTTGCTATCACTCTTGCACTGCATGTGATAGAGTTTGATTTGTGCTCTGTGGATAGTTGGGATGTATATGCACAGCCTTTAAAGACCTGCTAGTAAGTTTTATGCATAAAAGCTTTCCTAATTGGGAATGCTTTTCTCATTCAGGACATAAATGAAAGATTATAGACCTCACAGATGCTTAGGTGTAGCATGCTCTTTTTCCTGCAGGAGGAAAGATTTGCATCCAGCCATTTGGGTGAATTGCCATTGAAATGCAGAGCTTCTCAGGAGGGGTACAGCTGGCTTAATACTATTTTTCGTAAGTCTGCCACTCGTGGGGAGAGCAATGCAGATGCCCAAATCTTGGTGTCTAGTGCTATTTAAGATGCTTTACAGTATCTTTCCCACTTCCAGCTGCCTCTCCAGAAGTGCACAATTTCTCAGGCATCTTGTGTTGTATCTGCCAGCCCTGCTGCAGGTGTCTTGGATCTCTGGGATGTCAAAAATGGCACTTGGTGCCTATGTTTAGGACCTGAGTCAGTCCCAATGTGGTATAGCTGTGAGACGTTTACTCTCTCAGAAGAGTGAGAACAGTTCCCTTTGCAATTTATAGGGAAAGTTAAAAGTAGATCAACTGTTGACAAGTCAGGTTGGCTGGTTTACAAGAGACTACTGTGTTCAACAGATGGGAAGGAGCTGCCAGATCTGGATTAAAAGCCAGATCCAAACAACCCAGCACTTAAAAGTATTTGATTTTCTACACTCTGAAGTGTGGGACTCAGGTAAGAGGCAGCAGGTCCCTGGATATAGCTTTACTTCCTAATGCCGGCACCCTAAAAGGTTATAGAGATGACTTGTTCCATTTTTATTTTAAATGCTTCTACCTTCTTGGAAATATGAACTAGGCTAGAGTCTTGCACTTCATTTTGTTTGTCACTATAACAATGTTGTACTATTTCTCTTATTCCCACTATGTGTGATCAGGTGGTTCTTCAGGAAACCTCCTCAATTTAATAAAAAGGTGAGTATTTAATGGGATTCAAATGCTGACTGGGGGTGCAGAAGTGTTGCTGGAGTCCTACTCCTTCAAAAGAAACGAGCAGCGCACTGTAAGGAATGTATTATCCACAAGTGTCCTAAAAAGCACAGCTTCCCTTGGTCACTGTGCTCTGAAGTGCTAGCTGTTTCTTCCCTGGTATGAACATCCATTAACAGAAGAAAAACTGTCTTAAAGTGTGGATGTCACCATCTCCAGGGCCTTGATCTTGGCCTAGTTAAGCCAATGGAGCATTTCCAGTGATTTTTGGGAAAAGACTAAGCCTTTCCCTAAATCTGTGCTTTGTCCTAACTGCATTACTCCTGATTTGTAGCAAGGTAGACAGACATGGGTAGGTCCACTGTGTTATCTCCATGTGGATATGATTGAGTAGCTACTGGACAGTGTGAGGCAGCAACTCTCCTTTTCAGATTACTTTGGGTGGGCTGTGGGGCACTTGGGTTTGATTTAGTTTGCTTGATGCTGACATAGTTCACGTCCTAAGGGATTTACTGTTCTCTCTTCCAGAAAAAGTAGTAATGAATCCTTGCCCTCTAGCACTGAACTTCAAACCACATCCTGATTTGTTCTTGAGCCCAATCCTACTCATAAACTTAGTTGTCAGCCAAGCATAGTCGTCTTCTCACATCTCTGATTAAAAACTTCCCATCTTGATTTATGTCTTTGCCCTGAAATGAAATTACTTAATTTGGCTTCTGAATAATACAAAGGAGATAGAAAGCCAACAGGAAAAAGACAAGTCCAAGACAAGAGGGGAAAAAGGGAGAAGTAACAAAAACTATATTTAAGAAACTTTACTAAACTATAAAACTACAGGGGAAAAAAAACAAAACAAAAAAAACCCTCTCCCAAATGTAGAAGCATAGCCATCAGAGCATTGGCCAAATCTAAACAAGCTAACTCCAGATGTGATCTCATACAAGCATGGTGTGTGATTCAGACACTGAGAACGTATTTCCCCATTAATATAGCTGTGTATTTATCTTTTAGCTTGGCCAGAAACCAGCTGTTGGACAATCCAGCCATAGTTATTTACGCTACAATTGGGAATGATGTCTGCAATGGGTAAGGTGTAAACTGAATTAACATTTATAGTATCATAAATTTTACTTCTTTAGAGTACTTACATTTATGTCTCATTGCTTTGCACTTCCCCATGATGGTATTTTTCTTTGCTATTGGACTGTGCTTCATTCTTATTTTTCTGCTGAAAATATTTATTGTTGCCTTACCTATATTTGTCATAGCCACCTACCTGTCCTCATCTGGGGCTTGTCTTTTTTTCTTTCTTTTACAAGGCAGAGATAAAGTCACCAATGTCATGTCTGAAGTAGAATATTTCTCATTTAGCAGATGAAACAAAGTATAACAACAACAGAGGGGGAAAAAAGGAGTTTAAAAGCATGTGTATCTGTCTTACCCAGTGTGTCACCTCCTGTCAGGAGGCAGAGTGTGACTGGTTTACCTTTTCTGAAGAATGACAACGTAGTCCCCTGTCGAGGTCTATTTTCACCCTGCCTCTGCTGCACGCTGCCTGCAGTCTTTGCTGTGCTGTCCTGACGAGGTGTTTTGTCTTTCTGGCTTTACTCACGTCATAAGCTCAGCAGGAGAATGAACTGAAGCTTTCAAAACTAATAGTTCTGACATTACCCTTTAGCAATGCTCACAGGGACACCAAGAGGTCACTAGTTGGATGCTTCCCTTCCTCCCGGTAGTGGGAAGGCAGAAAACACCTTGCAACCAGTCCAATGCACAGCACAACCAGTTTTGGTTTTGCAGGTGGTCCAAGTGCTGTTGTTAGTGTAACATTATTTTCACCATGATGAATCTTCAGGTTTTCTTTTAAGTGGAAGAAATAAATCTGACTTACGCAGAGACTTTCAAAACACTAATTTCAATAAATGACGCACGCTCAGCTAAGTCCCCTTCCGAAGCTTTTGAAAAGTCTCACCTGCAGGCTGTATAATGAAGTTGGAGCTGTTATGCAGCCTGTCAGACTTTGCCATTAAAATATCCTGGGTTTGGTATCCTAAAACTTTGCTTAACAGCAAGTTGCTTGGGTTGAAACTTTGCACGTCGGGTGTTGTACTCCAGACAGGGATGGGCTAAGGTCAGGCAGGGCAGAAGTGGGACCACAGGGACCACCTTTTAGGTCCTTCCCTGGCACCACCATCTCCCTGGCCACATGCGGGCAGCATGCAGGAATAATGTCCCATGAAACCTTCACCCTTGGCATCTCCCTCTGGTGATGGTGCTCTGTCCATGCCCCTGCCCAGAACTGCCAAATCTGGCCTCAGAACCACCCTCCTGTTACGGGAAGAACGCACAAATCCTCAAAAGTAATGCCACCACCCTTCAACTGAGTGGGAAAAGCAGTCACAGACCTCCTGCTACTTGCTGACAAGACCATCCTGGGCATCTGTTTATTGAGAAGCTTATGAAGGTATCATTACAACCACCCCCAGGATGATGAGTTCCCCCCCTCCCAAATAGCACCTTCACTGAAGTCCATGGCTCCTGCTGCAGAGACTTTTGAGGTGTCTTGTCCCAGTCTTGGCCCGGGGTCTGTTGTGTACATATTTCAACTCTGCTGTTTCACTGGCTTTGCTAAAAGCACTTCTTTTTCCTTATTTTTTTTTCCTCATTCTGCAGGTTATTCCTTTCACTTCCCCTGTCTCTAACACTGCTTTCTATTCTTGCCTGAAGTGAAAAGAAATTTTCCACAAATTTAAACCATTTTGGCCTTGCCTCGCCCATTTGTATGTTCCAAACCAGTATTTATTACTTGAAACTCTGCTGTCTTTTTATTCCAGCATCCATTACCTGGCAGACCCACTTTTGTCTGCTCAAATTCTCTCTACTGTCTGTTTTCTTCCAAAACATTTGCAACATCAAAAGAGGCTACCAGGCTGTAGTGATCCCTGTGACTCCAGCAAGGAAAGATGCTGCAGCTTCTGTAGCAGCATACTGTTTCCATGCTGTTTCCATCAAGTGGGATGTACAGCCAAGAGAGATTTTTTCAGCATCCGGTCACTGTGTGTAGCTGCCCTGGCTCTGATGTACCCACAGAGGTTATGGAGGATACGGAGCATCCAATGGGCTTGACTTCAAACCTAGGGCTTGACAAACAAAAACCTCTTCAAGGACAGTTTTTAACTGCAGTAATAGAGCCCTTCTGGCCTTATCCTGTATTTTACCTTCAAAAGAGAGCAGTGTGCGGAGCACACGGGAGACACAGCTCTTTTAGCCAAAGCATTGTTAAAATGACAGTATTTCATTCCATGCGAAGAGCGGGGCAATGAGTAATATGGATGTTTGTAGAGGAGAGAGATAATGAAATTGGCAGCCTGTGTTACACGTTCCCAGTAGTCTCCACACTGTGGTGTCCAAACGGGGGGGTTAGAAAAATAAAGACAGATGGCAATGGTATCTCTCAGCCCACTGAGGTGTAAATGTGGGACACACAGACCTGGAACAAAAAAAATTCAGACAAGAAAATAATGAGCACCAGCCGTCTCAAATTCTGTACAATTGTTGCACGTATTAGTTGCATTTGGGGTAAGGCACCATTTCTCCAGCCTCTCTTTCCCAGCTTTGCATCTGCAACAAACAGAAAGGTGACAGCAGCAAAGGGGGGGGTTAGCCGACAGCCACCGGGAAGGGAACTTGTACAAAGCAGCACTGGTGCCAGCAAGAGCATAACGCTACTGTCACCAAAGCCCTGCTGCACCCTTCTGGCCCTAAAAATAGTTTGTGAGTGTGCAACACCTCTAACCCTCATGTGTCGGGCATGCCACCCCTCTGCAGCAAGCTGGAGCTGAACTCCTGCACTGCGTATCCAGCTCTGCGTGTACGTGTACGTGCACGTGGCGTGTGCGAGTGTGTGCGTGTGGTGTGCTCGCTCACCAGCTGGCCCCGTATGCCAGTGGCCCAAACCCAGGGCATGTAACAGCATGCTGCTGGAAAGCAGACGTGTGGCTGAAACATTGGCTGGGGGGGCGTATTTATTTGGGTTGGGGTCACGGGGAGGGAGGAATTGCTGCCTCGCAGGACATGGCAGTCCAGGCCCACGAGCCCCGTGCAGAAGGAGGGTGGAGAGCTGTGTTTGGACTATGCCAGACCCTGTTATACAGGACTGTAGGAGGTCTCTGTGGCAGAGGAGAGCTGGAAAAGCTTTGCACAGATTTTGCACGAGGCTGTCTGGTCCCTCTGTGTTATATGTGTGCACGGCTAGGGGTAACCCATGGTGTTAGGACAGCCAGGAGCTGTGTGCACATCCAAGGATATTACTGTGTATTTGTGCATTGTAGGGGGGCAGGGAGTCCTCCCTAAAATACCCAGGTCCAATGCAGCAAGAATCCTGACATTAACGTCTGCTTGCTATGCTCTGACACAATGAACCGTGGCCAACATCAGCTTCCAGAGGTCCCAGGTGGGCAAAGGCTGTCACTGGGGAGGAATATATGAGGGTACCACAACGGCCCCTGGTGTTCACCCAGGCACCTTGAAGTCCTGACGGCAGAGACCAAAACGAACGTGCCTGTAAGATGGCTTGCTTCTCCTTTGGTTTTAATTTCATAGCCTGGCACAGAAAGGAAATGTGAAGAAACGCACTGAAATATCTGCACAACTTCAGCAGAGAATGATGAGAGAAAGTGGAGTTACAAATGTCATTAATTTCGTCTCACACTGATGTGTTTACTCGCAGTAGAGGCCTTACATCAGAGCAGTATTTTGAAATCAAGTCCTGCAACACCTGTAGGCAAAATGAAGTAATTTAAGGGCAAAAAACACAGTCTTATCTCAAAAGTACCTTGCTTGCGTGGCTGTCCAAGGATAAGCCTGAATCTTAATGCTGTTTTTCAGTTCTCCCTAACCAGAAAGTCTGAAATGCATCAGCAACACATACTGCATTAAGATAAATTTCTGGGCCCAGGGCACTTGCCTAATTATTATTTTGCGTGCAAAACGCAGCCCACTGAAGAATCCCAAATCCTTGCCAGGGAATGCGGTTGTCCCACATGGGTCTCAGCACACACCCCCTCCCCACCCCAAGCACAAATGTTTCTAATGCCTCGAGATGGAACAGCAATGCTTTTGAAAGCTCCTGCTTCTACATTGCTCGCTGACAAGAAATCCTTCCTGATTGCCCCGCAGCTCACTTGGCACTGCAAGCATAGAGTTTGCCCTTCTCTTATCCCTGGGAAGCCATGGAAGAGATTAAGGGACTTTCCCAGGGAAAGGACCTGGATGGAGCCTCCTGGCTGCTAAGCTGATCGCTTCCCTACGAGCCCACGAGGAGAAAACATGGGAACCGCTAAAACAATAAGGATGGGTATTAGTGCAACCTTACGCACTACGTGGAAGGACATCCCCTGTCTTTTCGTCTTGAGCAACGAGATCAGCCCCTCAGCAGGTGTTGAGGCTTTTTCTCTGAAAGCCTTGGTCCAGCTGAGCTGCACCACCAAGGCAGGAACAAAACTGTCACGAGAGCCTGCTTCCCAAGGTGCACAGTCCATGCCATGCACGGCCGCACATGTTGATGTGCTGCAACGATGAACGCTTTTTCTGTACTAAAGCGGTTGTTCTGATAACATAACTAGAGCAGTGTTCTCTAGGCAGCCTGGGGTGGCTTTGCTTGTTTGTTTTTCTTTTATATAAGTTGAAATTTGTTTCAACTTCAGCATTTTATTTCCCCCCTACCCTGTGGCATTTACAGCTAAATGCAAGAGGGGAAGGATAAACCTGAGCCTGGGACTCTGGCTTGAAGAGGTTCAGGCCTGCCAGTGAGGCACAAAACATGGATGTTCAGTTCATGTGGGACACCAACACAGTTCCTGTACCCTAATGAACATTTCTGAGGACTATTTTATCTTAAATACCTCCTCCCTCCAGTCTTCCATGTTTGTCCAGACCCCTCGCTATTCTCCTGACCTTCTGCAGAGCTGTAGTAAGAAAGAGGCGTATGATTCACGAGAGACAAAGCTACCTTAGATATTTCTACCTGGCATAATCAAAGAGCATGTTGAATGTAGGCTACATGCAGCAGCCCATGGGGAAAGAAGCCCCCCTTTCATCTGTCTGTAGGGCATCCCACACCCTGAAGCCACGTGTGTGGAGCAGCACCATTTCTCCCTGTTCAGAGCCAAAAAATGGAGGCTTTTTAATCAGGTGCAGCAGCACCCTACATCCCCTGAGGGCGACGGATCCTTTTCCTGATGAAACTTGAGGTAGACATTAGATCAGTTGAATGTCAGACTGGAGTTTGATAAGTACACCAAGGGCAGTGTCTTTGCAGTCTCCAAAATCAGTGGACTTTTAAGGACTACAGCTAAGCAAGTTCCTGGGTTTATGTCAAAAGTCGCTTAAGATGCTCTGCAACAGCTACAAAGAGCAAGGCACCAGGGTTACCGGAGTAGTTTTACATGGATTTTTAACAGCACAGGAAACCAGTGTGGTCATAGTCTGCTCCATGGCTCTGATTCGGTTCGCTGCACCATAAATAAAGACTACCTCAGTTGCAAACTGTGGAATAAAACCAGCAGGAGAGCTAAGACTTTTTTCTTTATGGAGGTGTGCCGGGCCTGGCTAGGATAGAGTTAATTTTCTGCTTAGCAGCTTCTATGGTGCTGTGGTTTAGATTTTTGACCAAAACAATGCTGATAACACACTTTTTCAGCTGAGCAGTGTTTGTACAGTGTTGGGGCCTTCTCTGTTTATCACTCTGCCTCTCCAGTGAATGGACTGGGGATGCACAAGAGGTTGGGAAGGGACACAACCAGACAGATGACCCAAACTGACCAAAAGGATAGTCCGTGCTATGTAACATCATGGTCAGGAATAAAAAGGAAGAGGAGGGCATTTTTTTTTTGTGTGTGTGTGGTGTGTGTGGTTAGCCAGTGTTTGTTCAGGAACTGGCTGGGCATTGGAGATGATGAGTGAGTGATTGCCTTTGCATCATTTCTTTTGCTTGCTTTCTCTCTTCTTCTAGTTCTCTTTTGCTTATTGAATAACTTTTTTTTTTTTTAATCTTGGTCCCCAAGTTTTCTTGCTTTTACTCTTCCTTTCCTCTTCCCCTGTCTCACTGGGGGGCAGGTGGGGGAGCGAGCGAGCAGCTGTGTGATGCTTAGCTGCCCACCAGGGTTAACGCACAACAGGAGGCCACTCTATAAAGAAAGGATGCATCTGTCTGTTTTTAGCATGGAGAAGGGTTACACCAAGGGAGGTTTCTATGTCACTTCTGATTTTGGGAGTAACAATGAGAGACTAAAACACATAGTGTCATTTTGATAAGGTTTTATTTAGCTAACTTAATGTGGAAGAAGAAAATTCCACTGTTTCAGGTGCCTCTTGGGGGGCACAATATTACCTGACATTTACCTGATGTTGGCATTCTCTTCTTCTGCAGGAACCGTGACACGCTGGCTCACATGACTACACCCAAAAAAATGCTTTCCAACGTGATGCAAGCTCTGCGATACCTGGACTCCCGTCTTCCAAATGGCAGCCATGTGATTTTAACAGGCTTGGTAGATGGCCGCTTTCTCTGGGATAACCTGCATGACAGATACCATCCTCTAGGTAAGTATGAGATGTTGTAGGGTCCTCCTGGTTATCTGACTGCTTGTGTTGCCTTCTCTCCCTGAGTAATTTATGAATCTATTGACAATTTCAAGCAAACCTGACAGAGTGGAGGAGATCTGAGAAATATGAGACAGATATTGGCTGTACAGTAGAAGTAGGAGAGCCAGCTTACCATTCCCAGTGCAGGACAGGGCAGTTAGATAGCAGACCCCCTAACCTGCCTGGTCTCCCCCAAGCTGGACCCTCTCAGCTCCAAACCAGGCTTCATATGTGCTGTGGATGTGGAAACAAGCTATTCTGCCTCAGTCTTTGCCCAAAATCGTGGCTGGCCGGCCTGCACTTCATCCTGGTTGTTGTTACAGGTGGAGCTGGACATTTGGTGAAGACTTCCACTCACTGACTGGTGGAGGTCTTGGTAAAACTGGATATTGTCCACAACAGAAGATTAAGTCAGGGGGTTGCAGAAGACTGGCTTAGGTATTAGAGAAATAAATTTTCCACAAGCGCTGGGTGCCTGCCATATCCTACCCTACCTACAGGTGTGATGACTGAAACCTCACACCATGTGCAGCCATGTTTTGGAGCATTCCCTCAGAGTGCAATTGCCGTAAGGTGCTTTGGGGCAGTGTTTTCAGAGATTTGGAGGCTGCCTTTGGGAACCTGTCATCTCAGCATGCACGAAATCATAGGTCTGACCATAATCAGACCACTTGCTCCTTGGCTTCATCCCATGCCAAGCAGCAAGGAGGAACATCATCGCATGGGGCTGCATTCACACGCAATGACGTGTGACCTCCTTGGTTAGTCCAATGGCGGTGCCTCTGGGGTCAGTGTGGAAACATTTCCCTGAGGATGTGGGAGGTTGTGGAGTGGGGAAGCTTGGAAGCTGGTTGCAGAACCTCTTCTCTGTAAGTTCATACCATCCAACAGCAGATAAAGAAGGTGAAATATTTTATGCAGGTAACAAAGAAATACAAAACATCTAGAGTAAGTCTCTTGTTCTCCAGTGAAATGTGTGTACAAGGAACCATCGTGGCCATTCTGCTGTCAAATTTTAGACCAAAATCATGCTCTCCTTTTTATTTGGGTAAAGGACACCATCCTGCATCTGAATGGGTGGAAAGTGGTTGTCATCTTAGTTCTCATCAGTAAAGAGAGAGAGAGAAGCTAAATCACATCATTACAATGGTAGATTACATCTTCAGATGATTTTGGCAACCTCTGGGTACTAGAGCTTTCAGCAGACTCTGTGCTGTGGTTTCCCCAAGGTTCCCCAATCACTGCCAGTGGCCCTGCAGCTTCTGCATTATGTACTACAGGTTATTTTACCCCTCAAAAGTACTTGCCTCTTCTCAGGAAGTCTGAGGTGTCCATTTCTATTTCTGATACCTTGTTACAGTTTTCTCTAATAAGCACTATACTACTATCAAGCGAAAGAAGAAAAAAGAAAAATAAAAGAAAAATTTTGTCCCTCTTGGGGCAGAGGGAGCATGTGATAATTATTTTTTAGTCACATAAATACATTTCTTCCCTTGAGTCACAGGGACTGTTCCTCTACTGGATATCTAATTATCAGAGAAAACATGTAGCATTTTTTGGCACAAGCCAAATCAGGAGTGATTAGCTATAGGACCAGTTGGAAATTTTTCAGAGGGGATGGTTTTGCCTTGGAGAGACTCAATTAATCCTAAGCAACACATTTTGCAGCAAGAGATCACTTCTGGCAGATCTTCCGGTGGATTGCGAGCAGGTTTCCCTGCTTGGCTTCCAATCAGGTGCAGCCAGACATCGGTCTGGCTTTCTGCCGAATCCCTGGTCCCCCTGACAGCCCATCCCAGGGCCTGATGCTTTCAGGGTACACGGGTCTGGGTCACCCCCCCATATCCATGGGTGACACTAGATCTTTGAGGTCCCCATCTTTTGCCCCCTAGGTAGGTGATACTGCTGCTGGGTGATGGGGCAGCCCGTGAGCGAGGCAGGAATCACATCTATATCAGGCAGCAGCAACCTGAGGAGCCTGTTTCACTTGGGAGAGATCATACTTTGCAGTTCCCAGAACAACAACAAAAGTCTCATATTTCAGCACTGCAAAAATAATGGAGCCTGATGGGATGATCAGTGCGCTACAAACTCAGAGAGCTGAGTGGCCATTTAGTTTCCATCTTGGTTGTAGCTACCAAAGCAGCAAAAAGGTCAAGAAAACACTTAATTTTCTCAGCAAGCCAGGCTATTGCATTGCACAGTGAATTTTAGGGAATGTCAGCTGGATGTTTGACTTGGTGCTTGAATTTGCTCACCCACACAAGCATATCCAATTCCCTCCATGACAGCAAAATTGTTCCTCCCTTTTTAAGGCTAACCTCTCCGAGGTAAATGTGAAACTCAGAGTATATACAGTCACCTTCAATCTTCCCTTCAGCTTTGCAACCCCCTGCATTTGTTGGAGGGTGAGAGACACGTTAACGGATAAACTATCAGTTGCGCCCTTCGGAGATGGGTGCAGGCTGTGATGACTAACCCCAAGCACACGAGATGAAGCACCCGTGAAAGGCTGGAGAGGGGTGCGGGAGGAGCGAAAGCGGCTCTGCGTGCTGCAGGGAAGGATGCGTTGGTGCCACCGGCTGCACCCCGACTCTGGTGGTGGGAGGGTAACCTGGGGGATGACAGGGGTCCCGGGGTGCCTCTCCCGACCGAGAGGTCTAATGCAGACCTGCAAAATGAAGTTACGTTTGGCCATCAGGCACATGAAGTTTCCCTCTCTGTGCTTTGCAGGGCAGCTGAACAAGGACGTCACGTACAGTCAACTTTATTCTTTCCTCGACTGCCTCCAGGTAAGGTCTCTGGCTTTAACTTACGAGCCCCCCCCCATTCCTCTCGGCCCACTGCTAAAGCCCTGCTCCCCATGCCTGCCCAGGTGAGCCCCTGCAGTGGCTGGCTGACCCCCAACGAGACCCTCAGGAATTTGACCTCAGAGGTAAGTCTCGACGAGGCTGCAACAGGACCGACATCTTGCACAGACGCTCCTCCAGTTTGTCCCTGTGTCTGAGGATATAAGCCTGATATCTCAAAGGCAAGACAGCGGCACACTTTTTTCTTCCAAAGGCGGGGAGAAGATGCGGAAACATCCGTAGCCATCCTTTCAAACACCTCTCAGGTTCTGGGAGGCAGCATGGTTGAGTTAAGGGATTTGTAAATGTATTCCCTTTCCAATCTCTCAGCTGCCCAAATTTATTCTCAAGGGATGCAATCTCCCTGAGATAAAACTGTTCAGGTTCATGTTCTTTAAGGGGAGAATGTACCCAATAAGAAAGGCAAGGCTTGTGAATCAAGTAGCTGTGAGTATGAAAAGCCAACTGCGTAGGCTTCCCTGGCAGTGGGAGCAGGTCCTGAAAGCAAGAGCCTTACCCTGTCTTTATTTGGGATTTGTGCTAATCTTCCTCAGACACATTTCTGTGGACTTAATCACCAGATGGTGTGACCAAGGAGCATCCAGGCTCAGCGCAGGAATGGGAACAGACAGAACAGAGATGTCTTAAAACTCACCCTAAAAATCTGGCTGCAGAAGTGAATGTCACATAATATCAGCCACTTATTCCCCTATAGTACAAGCTGATTTTTTAATCCCAGCACCCCCCTGCAGCCATGTAAAAGAGCCACTAACCAAATATCATCAAAGATGTCATCCCTCTGTATAGTTGTATTAAAGTTTGCATTCACTAAACAAAAAATACGGCCTTAATTTCACCAAGGCTTACATATGTGTTTCGTTTTATGTCCTGTCCTTCTTGACTTCAGAGAAGGCAATTAAGCACATTCCTAAATCTTTGCAGGCTTGCAGCTTATATATTTGTACCAACAATACAGAACATACAGTACACACAACTTCTGCCCATGAACAATTCATGTGTCTGCAGGGTATGAATTAATCTTCTTTCTGAGCCCCTGTCTGAAACTAATTGTCTATGTTATTATCCAAACTGCACAATTTAAATATTTAGGAGATCCTGATCTCTGTTACAGCTGTAGAAATCATGCTGGATATATCAGTTAGGTAGACGCTCAATGGAGGTAATTCACTCTGCTGAAAGTAAGAGCAGAATTTGGTCTGGCTAGATAAGCGTTAGCACCCACAACGCAGTAGTGGGAAGGATAATGGGAAAGGAGAACATTTTTCCTGCATTAAAAGTTTCAGCTTTCTTTAAGAGGAATGGAAATTACTGGGCTGCCACTCATCAAGAGGCCTCCGAAACTGAGAAATTCAGAATATTTATATAGGCACAGAGACACTACTAAAAGAGGTGTCCAGTAAAATAACCATATGCTGTATTAAACTTACTACATCGGCTGAGGCCTCAGTGCAACCTGCAATGATGTATTGCATGGTGAGCTGGGGAGCACGAAAGCTGGTGGTGCTCATGCAAGTCTATGTTATGATGAAGAACCCCATTTCACCTCCTTTCCCCCAGCTAAAAAGGCAACAATAGCTTTCAAATTCCTGACCAAGCATCAATGACAAAAGCTTGAATCCATGCAAAGCAGCATGAGTAGAAATGAATCGTCATTAAATCGCTTGATTTTTGCAGAGGGCTTTACAACTTTCCAATGTCCTGAAAGAAATAGCAAGATCTGAGAAATTTGCCAACTTTGATATTTTCTACATGGATTTCCCACTGAGACAAAGTAAGTTGCTTTTTTCCCTGTCTTTCTCATGAAGCGTTTAGTCAAGTGCTGGGCTTCTAATACACTCCTTATGTTTTAGCTCTGTACTGGGAGAAGGGCAGCATCGCCACCAGCCTAGGTGACCCAGCTGGCAGGGCTGGGGCCAAGTGGGGACCCTTAATGCCATCTCCCGGCTTCCCTGGTTGGGGTAACCGTGGACCTCTGCCGAGACAAGAGCCCACCACCAGCCTGGGGACCACAACCTCCCCGCTGCTCCCTGCACCCACAACCCTGGTGTGCAGCACACCGGCCATTTGCACTTGGGTGGCAGGGGGTGTTGGTGATGAGGCAACAGGGACAGCAGATGAGCATCTACTAAAAATGCCTCCTGCTTGTCCACTGCAGCTTCTCAGGCTGATGAACAAAAAAAGAAATCTCAAACCTATCTCAGTCCATAAGATTTCACTTTTATTTTTGATCATTGCTTTTATAGCGGGTCATCTAGGCTGGAGACGGCATATTTGCAACAGTGAAGGTGGTCTTCATGAGCTGTAGTGTACTACAGCACTGACTGGGCTTCGCATTGCCTCCTCTGGGATGAGCCATGCATCAGGAACTTTTCTCAGCCAGTTTTCCTGCCTGAATACCACAGCCACCCTCTCTTAACTCACTGTTTTCAAAAGTAGAAGTGCCTCTCCCAGGAAGAACTGGCTTCTTTCCTATGCTTCCTTAAGCACCTGCATACTACTGTAGCTTTTGACTTGAAGAGCTTACAAAACTCATCCTTCTGTGATCTTAAATGATATTAGGTAAGCACATTATACCTAAATCACTTCCTTCTGCAACCGACACTTAAAAAAAACCTAAAAGAACCAGAAACTTCTCCTCATTACTGTGAGCATGAGTGGACAGTGTCCTTGTGGGGCTGGGGACAGACGCCTGTCCCTGGATCCCTCTCAGCTCCAATTCCCTCACAAGATGTGCATGGGTCCAGCTTGAGGCATCTCCCAGCTCCGTTACACTTTCTTTTTTTAAAAAAGGAGCAGCATGAGATGAGGGATTGAGGTAGGCAACATATTCAAGTAGTTAGATAGTGATGGGAAGGTAAGAAAACAGCTTTTTCCACTGTGTCCAGCCTAAACCTCCCACATTTCAACTTATGCCTGTTGTCTCTCCCCTTCCCACTGCACTGCTGTGAAGAGACTGGCCCCATCCTCATCGCCTCCTCGTAGGCTCTTCCCCAGGATGGACCATCCCCATCCTTCAGCCTCCGTTCACGGGACAGGAGCTCGAGCCCTGGCCACCTGGGGGCCCTCCCTGATGGCATGAATTTTTATGTTCCAAAAATATTATATAAGAATTGGAAAAAAACCCCACCCTGATCTGCATTTCCTTGTTTTTATATTCACGTAGAGAGGTAGTTCCACATTGGTCCTTCTTGAAAAATTTTGCCTGGGGACTATATTTTAAATCCCAGCATGCAGACAGCTAAAGACGGAGCCATGAAGGGACAGAAACACCCTGGCAATACTTCAAAGGGTACATCTCTAACGCCTCTGCCCATCAGTGCCTGGCTGTCCTTGGAAGCACGAAGCTGCCAAGGCACCTAAGATTATTGCAAAAAATCTCATTTTGCAGCCAAATCCTATCAAAATTCATGAACTCATTTTATCTTATGTGACCCAATTCAGGAAGCTGGTTCTGGGTCTCATGCAGACCATATAGAGGAGGAGGTAAAGAAGGGGGGATGAGAGAGGGAGTCTTTCTGTCCAAAACTTTAGCTCAGAGAGGTGGGCTCCACTGTCAAGGTCGACATTGTAGCACAGAGTTTCAGGATGTCCAAGTTTCTTTGCGGCTTTTGCCTCAGCTACTTAATATTTAACAAGTCATTAGGATTTGGAACAAACTACCTGCTGGGTAGGCAAATTGCTTTAATAAGTTAAATGACTAACTTTAGGTAATTTATTTGCTTTCACGAAAAGAAACATCTTAATATAATTTGCTGTTCTTGATTACATCGCGTTAAATAAATGAGGTAAACAAAATCACACATGCACACACAAACATCAGCTCTGAAAGACACTTTGCAAAGTTTCCTGCAGCCCTGGAGCCAACAATTCAAGCTTGCCGTCAGGAAAGCTGTCAGTTCGTGAGTGTGCTCAAAAGCCAGCTAAGGCTGCTGACCTACTTTTCTGGTCTCTTTCTGAAGCAAGCACAAATCCTCCCCTAAACTCTCCAGACATCAAATATTTAGCAGTGGTTGCACACTGTGATGAGTACATTGATTTCAGCCTGGCCTGGGCATATATATACATAGCAGCTCCCAGCTTTCTTGGAGTAAAATTTGAGTATACTAGCCTTTATTCTAGATTTAGATGGATGTTCAAGCGCAGGGGTTGCCTTTGGCTGAAGAACGTAGTGGTTCCTTTAAGAAGCAGTGCAATAAACAGAAGCAAGCTCTAGTCTAGTCTAGCCAAGGACTTTTAAGACAAACTGTGGACATACTCGGTGGGTATTTGTTCAACTGCTCTAGGATTTTTGGAGGTCAAGTATAACACGCTACATTCACTCATTTTGATATAAACCTTACTTATCTTAGTTACTTCTCTGCTATTTCTGGCAATGGAACAGTAGTCTATCTACAAAGTAAAACACAATATATGGCCTCATACTCAACGTATAACATCATATGTAAGGAGTTAGGCAAGCTCAGTCTGCGCATCTATATGTGCACTCCGCGGTGTAATCTAAGGTGAATATGTGTTGTGCTCAACATATTGCAAATTTGAAACAAAGCTCCAAGCCCCGTGTCTTGAAACGGGTTACTCTGAGAAACATCTCTAGTAGGTTTCTATAGTCAAAGCGGGAATATCACCCTCCTGTGAATTCAGAAGTAGTATGGGGACCCAGACATCACTTTTTGACCCAATAGCCAGGGTCCAACAAACAGCACTGGGTCTAGATCAGAACTGTGGTGCTTGGATGGAGAACATTTTCCTCCTGACAGGACGCCTGCATAATGCTATTAAGAATTCTTATTCTGTCATTATAAAAGAAATTATTGAATTTACAGTCTGTTAATGCCATATCCACTAGTCCCATGTTTGATCACTGCGCAGCCCTTTTGAAGAGAGAAAGCTTTTTACTTCTCTAATGGCTCTGGGGCTTACAGCACAGCATCATTTGCATTGACTGTCATGCTTATGTAATTCAAAAGGTTATTTTGTTGGAGTTGAAAAAGACCTCTCAGAAGAGAAGTAACTGAAAATGACAGTCTATTCCTGCAGATGTCAGCCCATGTGAATATTGTGTTACCATCCCTTTCTCTAAAAAGCACTGTTTTCTTTATCTCTTTATTTTCTTGCACCGCTGAAGATGCAACTAAAATGGGAAATGCAAAGGTATTAAATCAGTATTAAATAATTTACAGCTCTACTTGCTACAGCATCCATCTTAGTTGGGAGGGAAAGTGAATTGTTTTATGATCACTGATGTTCAAAGCACTTCCTCGCATAAATATCGCAGAGGAAAAAAAATTAACAATAAAGCCTTAAATACTGCCCCGAGGAGAGGCGATTGTACACAGTATTGGCTCTGACAACTTTATATGAATTATCATAATCTTCATGCAGAGCCATCCTGTGCTTAAAAATACCGTCGGTGCTTTGAGGAAGAGGGGGGTACATCTCCGGGCAGGCGCCTACGTGCTCACTGGTGATAACCCCTCTGCTTACGTTGCTCGTTGTTCGCAGCGGCTGAGGAGTGGCGCAAGATGGGAGGTGAGCCCTGGCAGCTGATCGAACCAGTCGATGGCTTCCACCCCAGCCAGGTAAAAACCCGTCCTCAGGAGACAGGGGAGAGCAGGGGGGATGCCAGAACCCGTTGCTGCCCACGGCACCCAGTCAGCACGCTACAGGGGATGTAGGTTTGGGGGATTTCTCTTTTAAAAGAGGCAATGGCTTTGACCTCAGTGCAGACAGCTCTGTTTCAGCCGGCTGCACTCTGCTGTAGCTCCTGGAAGATCTTCTGCTGCTTTCTTTCTCTCATTCACTGGTACCCTGGCCAAACAGGTCTTTAGCCACAAAACCAGATCCTTGCTGCGTAGGGTGGCTACCTGCCTGCTCAAACAGCAGCTTTGCAGGATTGGGGCAGCAGTGCAGCACTGCGAAAACTCAAGATGACCCTGCAGCCTCTGAGGCCATGGGTTTCCCCATCGCAGCCTGGAACAAAGCTTTCTTTTTGAAGCTATACATTTAAATTGCTTTATGCTCTGCGGCTACGCTGCAGCTACACATTATGAAGAAGTTTTCTCCCACTTGCTTGGCCTCCAAGGATTGGTGGCAAGGGAAGGTTTACAGTCAGAAATAAATGGAAGGGAAGGAGAAGCAGCTGCTCCGCTGTAAGTCCTTGCTTGGGTTCAATAACCTAGTGTGAGGTTGCCTGGTTCCCACCGTATTCACTTCAAAGTAGTTTTTTCTGACTCTGTAAAACACATGGAGAGAGCATGTTCGGCAATCAGCTACAAAGCAAGGCAATTGGTTTTCTATACACTAGCTTTGGATTTCAAACACATACACAAAGCAAAGCAGGAGCCAGTCTTCCCCATACCGCCCTGAGAAAAACTACACGTGAGCTGAAAGCTGGCGTGCAGCCTGTAGCAGCCCTGGCTCACACCGGTAGGCACAGCCTGACCAGGGCTCTCCTGCCAGCTGCAACACGGTCACCCCCACTTGCTAAGTCAACACGGGGCGGTGGGAAGGTCCCAAAACCAAAGACCACTCCTGTTTCCCATGCTTTTCAATCTTGACTCTTGGAGCAAGAATTAGGCTGGGCTAAATTATGAGGGGACAAATCACAGCAGAGGTGATTTTCTCCTCTCTGCCAGAGGGCTCTGCCTGACAGCAGCAGTGGCCGCTCTCCATCCCATATACTTAGCAATGAGTCCAGAAGGTTTTTGCTACCTGCTGCTACGAGGGAAACGTGCCCTCCAAGCAGCCAGCTCCACTCCCAACATCCCTGCCCTGCCCAGGGGTGCAGGTCTGGGCGGCAGCTGGGAGAAGGAGGAGTGACATTCCTCAGTGATGTTTTTGTGGGTGCGTGGTACCAGCTCTGTGCCATGGCGAGAGCAGTTTGGAGGAAGCTGTTGCCTAGGGCACTGCTGCCTCTGTCTGCACTCTTCCATCCTGGCATGACGAAGCCACACAAGTGAACCCCGCTGTGCTGCCCAGCCACTGGCAGTGCCACTGGGCAGCTCCCCCTGCTCAAAAGCACGGGGTGAATTTATGGACCAGTTTTATGATGTGAGCTAACACCCCACATATATTGACTCCGACACCCCCATCACCAAATAACCTGACGCAATGCTGTCTGGCATGCTGGGAAAGAGCAGTCCATGGAGAAGAACTTCAACAGGTGTGCGTTGCAAGCACTGATGGATTCCAACATTTCAGCAGCTTACTCGTCGTCTGTGCTGTCAGTTCAGCCAGGGGAGACCTGCAGAGGGAAATCCAAAGGCAAAATATGTGCTTTAGTTGCTATCTTTTACACCCCTGCCAGTCAGCTGGAGCAATGCAGTGACTTGCTTGGCCTTGCCAAGTCAAAAAAGCCTGCTGTTCAAAGAGGGACTCCATCATAGTAGAAATTCCTGATGACTACCACGCAGTACCAGGAGATAGCTGCATGAAAGTATGAGTTTGCAGCCTGGGAGCATGGAGAAAGTGTGTCTGGATTTTTTGCTGCAGGACTTTTGCAAGGAAGCAATTAAGAGAAAACTTGGCAAATGAAATGAGGGTGGAAAGAATGATGAAACGAACCTCATTCTCAACCCTGCCATCTGGGGAAACTGTGCAATACGAACAGTCTGAAGTAAGGAAGAAAAGGTCTTTGCATTATTTTTATGTCTTACCCTGAGGCTGGCCTGAGGCTTCTTACAACCCCCAGCAACAGGCCACCGAAGGAGCCAGGCTCGCCGGATCACAGCTTTTCATCCAGGCTCTTGCCCATTACCCGCATCCCACCAGCAGCTGGAAGGTAGCACAGAATTGAAGGCAACAAGTATTTATCTTAAAGGGATCCTGCCTAAGCCAAAAGAAAATTACAAAAGGGTATTGAAGAACAGCTGCAAACCTACAAGCAACCCCCAGAAGTGCCAAGCTGCTGGATCCGGCCGAGCACTGCCATATTTCACTCCCTCTGGACCTGGCATCCTGCGGTGGTTATGATCTCCCCCTCCTGCTTTTAGGATGACGTTAATGCTTTTCTAGGTACATTTTCCCTTGCGCTTAAGGTGCCAGCTGTAGATATGCCTCACTTCAAGTGAGCTATTGCCCTTCTAGGATTTATTAATTAGCCTTATCCAAACATCCACTGCTTTAAATCATTTTTTCTTTTCCTGCTAGTATACAGAGGTCTGTTATCAACATACCACTATTTGGACTGAGATGTAGCACTCTGCTCCGAAAGAGTGGCTCTCTTAATAAAAAGAAGGGGAAGTGTGAGCAGAGAGTGATATTTAAGAGTACACTTGAGAGAGATGATAAACAATTCACTCACTCCTCATACTAGTTTTATTTAAAGTTTTACTTTCTACCAACGTGAATGCCTCTGGCCAGGTATGGTTTTCATACCATATAATGCTGCCTAGCTGGAGAGGATTGATGCCATGCAGCTTGTCAAGTGAATGGGAGCTCTTACTTCTATCTCTGAAGCTATTCCTCACGCCTCACGTACCACTTGAACAAATAAATACAACAGATAAGACCTAGCCTAGGCATTTCTACTGAATTTTCTCCCTGAAGATGTCAAAGCACTTGACAAATATTCACAAGTTTTTGAGTTCAGCAGCACTCCAAGACAAGCATAAACATTTTAGCTCTTGCCTTCAGATGCAGAGAAACTTTGGAGTTTGGGATACAAGAACTGCAGTGCCCCTCCCTGCTGAGGATGAGCTGGAAGGGTGCTGTCATCCCTAATCCTTATGATACAGCAGTAGGCAGGATAAGCCGGTGTCTGGTGCCTGCCCCTGGATTTCATCTGCCATTTATCTGCTCTTTCTTTGAGTAAAAAAAAACCTGTCGTGTTATAAACATGGCAGAAGCAGGTGTCAGGATGTATATCCAGCTATGCAGGAAGGAGGTGGAAGGGAATTAAACCTCCCTGAGAGTTGCGTATTTAGCATTGCAAGAAGAAGGAAAAATTAAATAAGGCAACACTCCCCTTTTCCCATTAAATCTATTCTGGTTTTTCATGCATTGGGAAAAGGGTAGGTTAGGAAAGTCAGGCGGGAAAAATTAGCCCCCATAATTCTCACTCCAGGTAATAGTTTATATTTTAAAACCCTTGAAGGAAGGGATAAACACCAAGTGGTCATTTGTTTAGCCAGGCTCAGAACTACATTCCCTTACTGCAAATTTCAGGGGGGGTGAAGCGGTTCTCTACATGGTTTTATTAAATTTCAAAGCAGAAGGCTGCAAACAAAACACTCATTCTTGGCATAACTGCATTCCTCTTAAGTAAAGCTAAAATTGGGCTCCATTAAGTTTTTTTCCAAAACACCCAACTCAGGCTGTAGGTAAAGGAAATTCACACCATTTACTTTTGACACCTAAAAGTTGAGTGCATCACTCAGTCCTCCTAAGTTCCCCCTAGAGCTGTTTCTGAGGCACCGTACCCCAAAATCCCGCTCAGTTGTCCTTGGAAGAAACCTGACTTTCTCTTCCTATTGACTATAGTGGAAACCCAGGGACTTTTTTTCAGCATCTCTCCCTTACTATGAAATCTCACTGCAAACCATTCTGAGTGCCAGATGGCTTCAAGGACATTACTTCTCTCTAGAACAGCTGATTGCTTTGTTTGGACGACAGAGCCATGCATTTCAACAGGATCCTGCATAAATGGCTTCGTTTCTTGCTTTTATGAAGTTACCAGAGAGAACGCGAAAGCCCTGAGCATCACAAACTGGAACCCGAGACGCTTGGAAGATTCTTAATGATTATGTACAGTCAGGAAAGCACAGCTTGAGCGTGATTAGATTCTCCCTTTTCTCTTTCCTTAAGACATAGCAAAGCACATTCCAGTCAGGGGAAAAAAGAGAAGAAGCTGAAGTGACGCATATCAGATCAGTTGGGTATTTGCACTTTGCTGAGAGGCACGCTCATCACCAGTTTGGTGCAGGAGGAGGAAATAGCCAAAAGCTGCTGAAATAACACAGCCACCTCCCAGTCGCAGTCACCCGGGGCTCTCTGAGGAATAGGTAATATTTCCTTTAAAATATTGCTTAAGGTTTGTCGTCCTCACAAAAAATTAATTGCAAAAAATGTACAAATTGTAGCAGGTCTCAAAGCACAAGAGCTTTGAATTTAAAAAAGACCTACAAGAAAAGCGATTCCTAGACTCATGAAGCCTTCTCTGTGCCATGCTGCTTATAGAGTAATTAACCAAAACCTTAGGACCACATGAAATGGTGTGTGAGTAGGACCTCCATAATTTAGGGCAGTCTAAGCAGATACACCATAAATTCCAATCAACAGTAATCTGAACACTGTAGAGCATACTTCTAGTGATACTTTTGCAGAGGGTTCACCATGCAAAGATAGTAGGATTTTTTTTTTTTTTTTAAACAAACCAACCAACTCTACTAAAACACATATGGAAGGCTTTGGAACTTGTAAAGAAGGTTTGGCAATGATCATGCCAGAATAGAGACTGGTCTCAGCCCTCTGGCAGCCATAGGACATCCCAGAAAAACCACATTTGGTCCATTAGAAATTTTGACCAGGAGAAAACACCCTGTTGCAAAATCTCCCCATCCCTCTCCCTTGTCCCAATTGCTCTGAATAAAAGAAAGTTTTTTGTCTCCTGGCCCATCATGGCAGCTTCTTTCAAAAAGCACAGGATTTTAAAAGAAGTGCATAAAAATTCTCCAAAGGCTCCAGTCTGTTCCCAAACTCTGAAACATCAGTATTCAAATAGTTTGATTCCGTAAACCCATCTTGGTCCTTAATAAAAATACTTTGTTAGCCTTATTTAAACCTCAAAATTAAAATCCATGTCAGATTGAGTTTTAAGATTGAAAGTAAAGTTACCATATAAGCAAAATATAACTGTGGGTCAGAAATTAAAACAAAAAAGCATTAAAAGGGTATGAAAACTTGGTTTAAAGGAGAATCATGCTGTTCTCCCTTCCCTTTTCTCCTACCCCTGAAGTTTTTCACCCTGGCAATAGAGTGGATACAATTTCTCTTCTGTACATAACCTCTAGGGCAAAAACTCTTCTGAAAGATAGAGTGATTCTGATAGCAAGGAGGAAAGCTATTTTACCACTTCTGCAGGTCTCATGGAAAAAAGCTGTGAAGACAACCAGCAGCAGGCCCAAACTTAGAGCATCAGAGCTGGGTAGTTTTGAACCTAGATATAATTGGACCTCTTTTTCCTCAACAACCGTGGTTTCCTTATCGGCTAGCAGAGAGAATACTTATTAGAAATATCAGAGGCATTTAGGAGCAGGAATTCCTTGGGGCTTGCAAGAGTTTTATGTGTTATATCCAAGCAGTGCCTTTGAAATACTTTCAAAATACCTTTGAGGGGGAAAAAAAAAAAAAATCAGACTCTAGGGCTTTTGCATAGAAGTTTATGGACCAGACATCATAGGCATCAGGAAGCGGTTGGAGACTATCAATAGTCTTGTGACGGGTCAGGGAGGTGCAGATATATGGTCCTCACCTCATTGTTACTGTTCGGAAGGATTTTTCCCCTTTCAAGCAGCTGGAGTGGGCTATTTTCTTTGGTTAGAGGTTGTGGTCCATGACATGGCTATACAGGGGAGTCATCTTTCTGGTGGGGTCTCCCAGGCGCTGGCATGAAACAGCTATATTAGAGGGACAAGAAATTGATAGTATTTGTGCTGTTTGCAGATTGCTGCAGCCCTTGGAACAAGCATTACCTGGCAGAAGGCGCTACGTGAATGGCCTCAAGTGCTTGGAAAGGAGAATCCGTTCAACGACCAGATTGAAGCGATATTCAAAGATCAAGGTGGACACTGACTTCCAAACTGCCGGAACCCTGACGCGTTTTTTTGGTGATGCTTCCCAGCGCATTCTACAAAACAAGATGATCAGACACAGACACACACACACAAGAAAGGGGGAGGGCGAGTTATCAGAGGCAGTAGCAGTGGACATAACACAACAGTGTTCTTCTCTGTATCTCACCTGCACAAATAGGCTATGCTTTTTCTGTGGAGCTACAAAAATAAAAAATCAAAGGATACCTGCCAACTGGACCATTTATTGTACTGGTTTGTAAATCTGTATGATTATTTTCCATATATAGCAAACTCCTAGCCCTACCTTGTATTTTTTTTTTTTTCCCCCTGCAGAATGTTCTTTCTGGGCTTTCCATTTGTACTGTTTCAACAGTTAATCTGATCCCAGAAGTGTGTGGGGGGGAACCCCAAACTCATTATGTTGCTATAAATTGTGCGTATGTAATTGCCCTGACTGTCAATACATTGTTTAGCTGCTATTTGCTTATTAAAATGTGCCAGGAATAACAAGGCGCTAGAATTTTGATTTGCCTGGCAGCATTAGTGCAGGCTGACTGAGCACAGGTTCTCTTCCCCTGCCATTAACAAGATAGTAACTTGACAACCCTTCATGTATTTAAAACAGGTTGCTTTTTCAAGCTTTAATACATCTTTACTCTTCTGCTTCCTAACAAATATGATATATGCAGTCCCATGCCTTTTACGAGCATGACCAAGGGAATCACTGAAGATACTGGGCAGCTCTTGCCTGCTCTAATTCATACACAGACTTGAAGGTTGACTGAAGATACTGGGCAGCTCTTGCCTGCTCTACTTCATACACAGACTTGAAGGTTGAGTTACTAGTAGGTTTTTCGCCAGCTTATCCAATGCTCTTAGCAAAATAAACGAATAAATAAGTAAATAGACAGCTCTGCTCTACCAACAGCCCTGCTGGTGATGAAGGGATCAGTTGGCATAAAACATCACTAATCATACACGGAAAAAATCTGGTAAATAGGCGAAGGGATCAGTTGGCATAAAACATCACTAATTATACACGGAAAAAATCTGGTAAATAGAAGGCGTTAACATGACATGGCTAAAAGCCCTCCAAGTCAGCCAAAGCTCAGGTAGAGTTGCTCTGCTCTCTGTTCTGACCAGGTTCCGTGTGTAAGGGGTCACCCCTGAGCCAGTTCTTGGGGTGCAGCCCAGCCCAAAGGAGATGTTCTGGCTGTGCGTGGACCTCAGCACACTGGCTGCGGCTGTAGGAGATGCATCTGCGCAGTGTTTGGATTAGGTGGAGGATGACTTGGCTAATGCTATTTTGATGGAAGCACGTATTACTGCTATCCTAGATCCTCTTCCTTTTTTTAAAATACAGTCAATACCACATCTCTTATTAAGATAGAAATTCCTTTGGGACAACTCCTGACATTTAAAGAAATATTCAAGTCACCTACTTTAGGAAACCAAAAGGGAATACATTCCTTAATTAAATGATACTTACTAATGAGGCCCCAATTCATTCAAGGCATTTAGATGTTACCAAAATATCCGGTCTCCCAAGAAGCAGTTTCAACCCCACAGAGGCATGCCTGAGGAAGGCCGTTTAGATTTCCTTCTCCTTCTACTACTATCTGCTTCCTGTACAAATGCTCTCCACCAAACAGCCTAACATTTGTTGCACACCGGCAAGGTAGAACACCTTCTAACTATTTTTCATTACCTATTCAGCCTTCCTATCTTTCTTTAAAAAACAATACAACAACAGAAACAAATGAATCCAATATGTTTTTACTATAGGCCAAGTGCAGCACAGAAAATAATTATAGAATATCAGATAATTTCCTCTACACCAAAATACAGAAATGTAGCAATTAAAAGGGGGAAGGGAACAGTATGTGTTTAGAAGCCAAATTTTCAGGCAATCTCATTGGAAATTATTGCATTTCATTTGAGGTTGGGATTTAATGCCAATTAGGACTTTTACAAGCTAGTAAAACTGAAATTTCCTCAGCTAAAATAAGCTTCATTGCCCAGAGCAAAGCATTTTCCATTTATAGACTTTCTTATTAGTGAACATCTTGAATTTCTGAACAATGGAAGAAAAGCTTTCTTATTAAATTAGAACAGCATCTTCTCAATCAAAGATGACCTGAAACCCCCATAGCTGAACCCTGAGGCACAGCTCTCGGATTTCCCCGGTATAATCGCTCCGTGCTGGATATGGGGACTCCAGGGGGCTTCAGGAAATGGGTTTGCCACAGGCCGAAGGAGCACTAACCAAGGCGTACGGCCTCACACCTCACAGGCGAGCTCCACAGCTCAGAATTAGAAGCAGGCTGTATACAGAAACTCAATTTGTAACTAATGCAGGAACTATTTGCAAATAAAGATGAATTTGGGGCCTATTAAGCCATCAGCTTTTACAACTGCTATGCCTCTCTGTTATTTCAAAGAACGCAACAGCCAGCTGAAGATTTGCACCCCCAAACATCAATCACTTACCAGTACCACTCTAAAAATAAATGTCCTATATTTAAACAAATGCTTCTGGGAAAGCTTACTTATTCTAAAGCAGTAACAAACTATGAATCCTAGTCTAGTCCCTTAGTTTAACTGTTGCCTGGTGCTTAGATTGGTTGAAGGTAACAAATGCATGGGGAAGGGAGAAATAAACAGGGGGAGAAAAAAACAACCAAAAAAGAGTTTCCCTTGGAAATCTAAGTGTAGTTCCATGAAATTCAAACTTTATAGCAGTATGGATTTCTAGAATGGAATGATCTAGCAAGGTCTTTTTGGGGGGAAGAGTTAAAACATGTGAATACAGGAGGGATCATGTCACTGGCCAGTTCCAACATGCTGCAAAGGGAAAGGGTTTTTTTTGACGTTTTTCTGCTCATAAACTGTTTTTACAAAACTTAAAGCTTTGTTTGAAATCAGACAGTAGGAACTATTTTTGCGGTATAGAACATCTATAGCTACTTGAAGCTATTTGAACTCAGGCAGTCTGGCCTCTTCCAAATAGGTTTGGTAACATTTGGAAAATTTTTCCATAGCTCACCCTTAAAAGAGCAGGGGACCGGGGGAGGGGAGGAGGTACACAGAAGGGCAGGTCAGTGAGGCTGCAAGCGCAGGCTTGCTGCTCAGCTAGCGTCACACACTTTGCTGGCTGCAGTAGCGCATGTCATCGCCACTGATAGCTTGTGCCTAGAACTCACCATTCAGGACAGCTTTTCTAACTTACAACCCCTGTTACACATGACACCTTTCCCTGATGAGGATGATTTTTCATCTTGGGCAACGAACACACACAGATTAGTTTCTACAATGGATAACAGCACAAGTAGCCTAAATAAAAATATGTCACTCCTTTGGATATATCCAGTTCCATTCTTAACACCTTTCTATGGACTCATTTCATAATTTTAGATTTAACGAGTTTTATTAGCATCTACTTGGAAGTTTAAGTAGACAGCCTACCATGGATCAACAGATGATACTTGCTCTTCCACTGCCCATGCTGCATTGCTACTCTGCAGCCATGTCTCTTATTACAAGATAATTTGGTGCCGGCTACCCCTGAGGCATCACATTATCTTCTCAAAACAAGCAGCATTTTGGGATACACATACTGAATAGAATCCTTTCTTATCCATTGTGCAGAGTCCAGTCAAACTCGTATCTCAAATGCATAGATGACATCATGAAAGAAGCATAAAGTGTTTTATTCTTTATTTTAAATGAATAAAATAAATCTCAATACACAGTTTGAAAATAAAGACATCAGAAAAAGAAAACGAGATTTAAAAGCAAAAACACAAAAGTGGCAGGATGAAAACAGTATAAGCTAACAGAATTTAGTGTATTACGTGTGACTATATAACAGCAATAGCAATTTTAAGTATTCCACTATTGCATTCACAACAGTGGAATAATGAGATAGTATTTCACTAAGCCCAGTGAAAAGCTGTGAAAATCACAAGTTTTAACTGAATAGTTTTGCCATTTTAATGATGGGTCTGAATTTTATCTGCATTTATGAATATGCCTGAGGGAGAGGAAGACCCTTACTTTCAGCCAGCAGAGTATTAGTTGGTACATAGCAGCTTTGTAGTGTCTTATTAAAAAAAAGAGGGAAAAAAAAGCACTTTTACAACCTATTCCTGGTTCTCAATTTGAGGAGAATTCTAGCTTGCACAAACCATGAGTCCCAGGAAATTCTGACATATACAATCCTAAAACTAATTTTTTTTTTATATAGGAGTCCTAACAAAAATATTTAAGACCTTTCATTTCTATCAAAGTGCAATATACTGCATACATAATTCCACACCTGTAAACCACACAAGATACACACCATGCACTTATCTATACCAGTTTGTAAGAGAAATTGCAAAAGTACGCATATACTGTGCAAGTCTTTTGTTCTGACCACAAGGACACTGTGCAAGCAAGAAATACTTATACTGCACGTTGTAGAATAAAATTTACTAGTAACTTCTATGCCTGATCATTTAAAAAAACCCGACAAACCGTCCAATATTAAACCTTGTGCTTCAGCACCATCCTTGTTAGAGAACTCTGAACTATTGTTTCTTTCGGGGAGCTGAGTTATCTAGTAAGCTTGTTTTTTCACTAGCTTGTCCCCCCCCCGCTTCCTGCCCTGAAGTGTGATTTCCTGTAATAATTTAGTTTTTTAAAGAAGAGAATGTACTTAGCTAAAAAACACATCCAAAAAAGGAGTTACATAAATATTTAGCACATTTAGAAACAGCTAATTGCTTCCTACCATACTCAAAAGCTAGGAAGCAAAAAAAGTTTTAAAATTCTTAAAGTGAAATAAAAATACTGCATAACATAGTCCTGTATAATGTTACATACTCTCTCAAATTTAAAGCATAAGTGACCCAGAGGACTTCCCACATTTTGAGTTCTTTTTTTGTGTAGTTCATGCATACATATTTTCTTCCTATTTCCCTCGCAGAGTTTAAAGCTTTCCAATGGGTTTGTAGC